GACAAACTTCACCCAGTAGCCTTTCATTCAAGAAAATTCTCAGTGACAGAAATCAATTATGAGATCCATGACAAAGAACTTCTTGTAATTATGGATTCTTTTCAAGAATGGCATCATTATTTAGAAGGCGCTTCCAATCCAGTCACCATATATATGGATCATAAGAACCTTAAGTATTTCATGCCAACACCAGTATTAAAATCATCATCAAGCTCGTTGGAGCATGTCTTTATCAAGATTCGAGTTCATCATCACTTATCGGCCAGGAAAACAACAAAGTTTGTTTGATGCCTTGTCTAGACATTCTTAACTTGTACCAAAAGAAGGAGATGTAGCTTTTGAGCAACAAAGAACGGTTCTCTTGAGGCTGAAGCAATTTCATCTTCGAGCAATAAAATCAATATTGACTATTGATTTAACTTTTCTTAAGCAAGTCCAGTTAAGTACGTCTTTAGATCCTCTTCTTCATGATATCAAGAATAATTCTTCTAAATCTCATGATCCCTCTAAATTGGAGTTCAAGAACAACCTACTCTATTTTGAAGGATGCTTATATGTTCCAGAAGGAGAAGCACGTTTATGTATACTTCAAGCTCGTCACAACTTCCCAATAGCAAGACATTTTGGATACAATAAGACTTTGGAACTGATATCTAGGGATTTTTGGTGGCCTCAAATTTGGAAGGCAGACAAAGATTTTGTACAATCATGTGATGTTTGCTCAAGATCAAAAACTCCTCGTCATCGACCTTTTAGGCTTTTTCAGCCATTACTCATTCTAGAACAATCATGGACTTCTGTTTCTATGGACTTCATCATGGATCTTCTAATCTCAGGTTCTTATGACTCTATATTCGTGATAGTAGATCGTTTTACCAAGATGGCACATTTTGTACTATATACAAAATCTATTACAGGTGAAGAAACAGCTAGGCTCTTTTTTGATAATATCTATCGCTATCATGGATTATTTAAGGATATTATATTAGATACGAAAACTCAATTTGTATCAAGATTTTGACAGACTCTTTTCAAGATTCTAAAAGTGAATATAAAACTATCTTTAATATTCCATCCTCAAATTGATGGATAGAACGGAGCATGTTAATCAAGTTTTGGAGCAATATTTAAGATATACCATCAACTACCAACAAGATGATTGGACAACTCTTTTGCCATTGGCAGAGTTTGCTTACAATAGTATAATACATTCTTGTATAAAACAAACACCTTTCTTTACTAATTATGGTTATCATCCACGACTTGATACTTTTGACTTTTCAAAAGTTGATAATCCTGTTGTGAAAGATTTGGCGATTCATTTGTCAGAGCTACATGCAACGATGAAGGCTTAGTTAAAAGAAGCTGAAGAACAGCAAAAGGTCAATGCGGATGTCTATCGAAAGGAACAACCACCATTCCACTTGGGTGATAAGGTATGGCTACTTCGTCACAATATGAAGACTATTCGTCCTAGTGATAAGTTGGACTATCGAAGGCTAGAACCATTTTTTATTTCTACACAAATCAATCTAGTCGCATATTGTTTACATCTACTAGAGTCAATGAAAATCCATCTAATATTCTATGTGTCTCTTCTTGAACCATACAAGACAGTGGACATACCAAGAAGACAACAAGCTCCACCTCTTCCTATAGAAGTAGACAATAATGAAGAGTTTGAAGTAGAAGAAGTCTTAGATTCAAGGCGGCACCGAAATAAATTAGAATATCATGACTTGAGAAGGGACTCTTTATCATAAATCTCATAATTGATTTCTACAACTAAAAACTTTTTGAAATAGAATGAAATTAGGTGAAGTTGTCTATTCTTTTTCATTTGTGATAATATAACTCCTAATACAAAGTCAAAAGTATTACTCTCTAAATTGAAGGCCTTTGTGAAATTTGAATGCATTAAGATTAGAGTTATAGTAAAAGTTACCTTCAAATCTTGAAAAGCCTTTTGTCCTTGAGGTCTCTATTTCATTTTATCTTTGAATGTCAACCATGTGAAAGGAATATCAACTTCGAACTAATTTTAATAAATATCTGATAGAAATTAATAAATCTAAGGAAATATTATATATTCTATATTATCTTTAAAATTTTCTACTTTGATATAACTTAACCTTTCTTTAAGTCCATTAACAAGGCTTCTTTGGAAATAATATATTCAAAAAATTCCACTTTTGATTGATAGAATATACATTTTTTCAATTTGGTATATAATCTTATATGTTATAACTTTTCCAAGACATATCTCATATATTTTTTATGTTCTTCAAGAATCTTGGAGTAGATTAAGATGTCATCAAGATAATAAACAATAAACTTGTCTAAGAATTTTTGAAAAACAACATTCATTGAATGCTAGAATATAGTTGAAATATTTGTCAATCCAAAAGGCATGACATTATATTCAAAATGTCTATACCTTCTCCAAAATATTGTCTTCCATTCATTTATTTTTTTTCATTTTTTTAAATGATTGTGCTTCTAGTCTGGATTATAAGTTGTTTCTTTAGACAATTCTCAGATTTGTGGCCTTGTTTACTATAATACAAGTATAGACTTTGTTCAAATTGATGTTTTTTTTTCTTTGCTATAAGAGATTTGAACTGTATTGCATCAATTTATATATCTTCAACTCTGGAGTGTAGAAGTAATATATTCATTAAAATAATAGAATACAAATTTTTAATATATTATCTTGTCAAAGTTCACAAGTGTTAATCTTGATGGTATTGAAATACTTGATTATCACACTTCACAACTTAGTTGATAGCTTCATTTAGTGTTTGAAGATCAAGTAATGATAGTAATTGGTCTTATACTTCATCCCTTAGTTTCCAATAGAATTGACTCATAAGAGCTTATTCATCTCAATTGATGTCATAAGCCAATTGTTTAAAATTAGATGCATAAATTCATGCAAAGCATGACCCTTGATGTAATAAGTAAATATTTACTATTGTCCATTGAACCTTGTCATGCTTGCCAAATGCCTCTACAAATGCTTTTAAAAAATCTTCATAGTTGGTCAAGATTGAAGATTCTTTTTTAAATAAAAGAACAAACCAAAATAAGGCTTGTTTTGTGAGCAGGGTTCCAACTAAACCAACTCATGATACTTTTTTTGGATAGCACTCAAGTAATAGAAAAGTTACCAATCAAATTTGGTTAATAAATCCTCAAAACTTAGAGCATGTACCATCAATTTTTTTTGAAACATTAATCCAAGATTCCTTATATTATTAAATAGGTGAATTTCTTTTTTGAAGTACATGTAGCACCACCTCCTTGGATGTAGAAACTTTAAAAAGTGGTTGTATCATATGCTAAATTGCTCCAAATCTTGCATCACCATGCAATCTTATAAAAAATCCCTCAACACCAATAGTTCTACAAGCTAAAGCATTCAATGTGTTTATAATGACATCTAATTTCAACTTGGAAGAGTCAACTATAGCAACATCCTCACCTCCAACCATCTTAAAAGAGAAAAAAAAAAAAAAAAAAAAAAAAAAAAATAGAGTTTCTAAAAAATATTAATTTAAAAGAAGATACTTTATAACCTCTAAAGCACTTAGATGCCTTCAAGAAGAAAGATAATTCACTCTCTATCAAGAAGAATCAAGCTCTAGTATTGATAAGAAGAGAGTCTCAACAAATTATCACAAATACATTATATAGGAGATCAAAAAAAAAATTGAATGGAAGAGCTTCAATAAAGAAACTAATAAGAACCTAATTAAATCAAATGAGTATAAAAAAAATACTAAGAAAGATGAGCTAGAACTCTAAGAACTATATTGTCAAGACTGAGGATCTTTTCAGCCTCAATTCCAATATGTATTAAGTATTAGGAAGCTTTTTGAGAAGTTTTGATGTTGCTTGATGATGAAGCAACCTTATAAAGCTTTTTGGACAACTTCTTAATCTTTTTAGAAATTTTTTAAATCTATTAGAATATTCTAAAAATCTTCTAAAGTATTCTAAAATATTCTAAGAATCTTTTTAAAATCTTTTATTGGAATATCTTAAGAATCTTTTATAATCTTTTAAAATCTAATAGAACATTTTAAGAATATGCTTATTATCTTTTTCTTATATGTCCATGATAGTTGTAAGCTTGGTAAGTAAAGAAGCTATTACTAGGAATCCTCACTATTCAAACAACTTGATCCTAACAATTTTATTCTTTAAATACTGAGGTTTCCAACCACTTTGCCTCCTGTTATCAACAATCAATTAAGTAGCATCTTTGTTTCTTTGTCTTACCTCGAAGTTGTTTTATATAATAGATTGATATCAACAGTAGCTTAACTTTATGATACTTTTTTTGGTTATAATTCATTTTAGTGTATTGAAATTAAATAAAGTATAGATTTGAAATAAATTTTATAAGTTGTAATTCACTTCTTCAGTATTTGAGACAATATATTGAAACCTACAATATTCATCATACTGGAATTATTTTACAGTTGCATCATTATCAAATAGAATACTAGAGAGTAAAAAAATAAAATAAACAAAACTGGAATATGGAAGATGAAATGAGTAGTATGGATTGCTGAGTTCAAATGTTGAAATTTGTTACTTTATCGTTGAAAAAATCATGGTAAGCAGAGTTCGCCGTTTCATTCATCCAAGGTGCATGCAGCGGTGTGATGGACAACGCCCAAGCCCCACAGATTCGGATATTCATTTATTCAGAGTGTGATCTCATCGGGGATGGATGGATGGATGGATGGATGGATGCCTTTAATAGAAGCATCGGTCGATATTGCTTGCCGTCGTCGCAGTCTGGCCAGTAGGGCTATTATTCCTAGATAGAGGCAGCCGCTCTCTCAGTCACTCGTCGAAACCCGGATGTTACCCGGGGTCCTTTACCCGGGGGTTTCGAGGGGTCATCGTGGGCTTAGAAGCTCTTGGCTAGGGGAGCGGGCAGATTGGAAACGGGCAGCCACCGCTCTCGTCGTAACCCTACACTGCTGGCTGCCTCCAAAGCTTCGTCTGAGCCTCTTGCTTATTCAACCCTCTGCCTCTTCCCCTCTCACCATCTTTCTTGCATCTGCTGCTGCTTGCTCCCCGTCCCCCTTCTGCGACTGCTGTCTTCTTGAGGCAATCCTGCTCTCATGTGTGTTCCGCCCTGTGTTTCCTAAGCCGCTTGGTGCGCAAATCTGTGTGGAATCGTGGCGCTGCGTGTTGGATATCGGAGCGTGAATCGTTCGGCGCTGTAGTGTTGAGGAGACTGGGAGACCCGGGTTTTGAGATTGGGAGTTTTCATGTTCTGCTGAGTCTGTTGCGTGAATTTTTGTTTCCGAGGGTTATCTCTACAGAGTGCGGTGTTTTTTCCGAGGGTTTCAGGTGTGTTTGTGTGAAGGAGGTTTGAATTTGATAGTTCGTAAAGGTGAGGATTGAACAGGGAGGTATTGAGGAGCTGTTTGGAGTGAGTGTGAGAAATAAATATTTAAAAAGCGATCAGCAAGGTGGCGGCACACTCTTTTATGTCTGAAGCCGGCTGCTATTACCTGGGGTCGGTTGGGCTCTTAGGAGAATATTGTCCTACAACGAGAAAGAGATACAAACATCTTTCGAGTCCATCCAGTACTCCCACTCGGCTGCATGTGGCTCAGCTAATTAGTGTGTTGCGCTTTCGTGAGTCAGCATCCTCTTCGGTTTCTTAACGCTTTCAATCATGGCGCTTCAGAATATCGGTGCTGGCAACCGCGATGACGCCTTTTACAGGTACAAGATGCCCAAGCTCATCACCAAGATTGAAGGGCGTGGAAACGGCATCAAGACGAACGTCGTTAACATGGTGGATGTGGCGAAGGCACTCGCAAGGCATCCTGCCTACACCACCAAGTACTTTGGTTGTGAGCTAGGGGCTCAGTCAAAGTATGACGAGAAAACTGGTACGAGTATCGTGAATGGTGCTCATGATACTTCGAAGCTCGCTTCGCTGCTTGAGAACTTTATCAAGAAGTATGTGCAGTGCTATGGATGCGGTAATCCTGAGACGGAGGTGGTCATCACCAAGACGCAGCTCATAACATTGAAATGTGCTGCATGTGGTTACGTATCTGATGTTGACATGCGTGATAAGCTGACCACATTCATTTTGAAGAATCCACCAGAACAGAAAAAAGGAGGTAAGAAGGACCGTGCTCTGCGACGGGCAGAGAAGGAGCGTCTCAAAGAGGGAGAAGCTGCGGACGAACAAATGAAGAAGCTCAAGCGAGAGGCTTCGAAGAAGAGTAAATCAGGGTCTGATGCCAAAGTTGTGAAGAAGAAACAAGGGTCTGATGATGAAGAGCATTCCCCTTCTGCAAGCCAAGCTGATGAGGAAGAATCTGTTGCTAATGATGAAGATGATGTGCAGTGGCAGACTGATACGTCTGCCGAGGCTGCACAGAGGAGGATTATCGAGCAGTTGACTGCGGCAACAAGTGAGATGGTAATGGTTGGGAATGGTGTTGAATTGAGCGAGCCCTCGCCAAGATCGAAGATTAATGGCCAAACTGCCCCGAAGTTGCTGAAGAAGTCGTCCTCTAAAAAGTCGGAGACAGAGAATGAGGTGAACGAGATGAAAGAGCCAGATTCTCCGAAGGAGGAGTTGAGTCCTCGAGAAAAGTTTCTACTTGATTTCAAGGAGTGTCTGAAGAAGGGGATGACTCCTGCGCAAATGGCAGTCCAATTGAACAAGGCTTCTCCCAGAAGTGAAGCAATGGACGCATTTTTCGTCGCTCTTTTCGAAGGTTGCGGCAAGGGGCTGCATAAAGAAATTACCAAGAAGAAGGCTTATCTGGATGCAGCTGTGCAGGATGAAATTTCACAGAAGGACCTCTTAGCTGCGATTGAAACATTCTGCTGTGCTCTTCCCCCGAATGCAAGTAAGGAGATTCCACTCTTGCTCAAGGTTTTGTATGACGAAGAAATCCTTGAAGAGGAGCAGATATTGCTCTGGTATGATGCAGTACCGTCAACAAATGGTTCAGCGAATAGTCCTGGTGCTTTGGTGAGGAAGTCTGCTCTCCCATTCGTTGATTGGCTTCGCAGCGCGGAGGCTGAATCTGAGGAGGAGGACGATGAGTGATGTAGTTGTCCCGATGAATTGTGATGAAACGTGTAATGGTTTTTTTTAAGTAGTTAATGCTCATTATGTGTTCTCGACGGTTATACGAAATGTCGGTTACTATATAGCAGCTTTTTCTAATTCAAGTTTTGAAATGTACTCTTAACTGCAGTAATAATAAAGTGGAGTATATGGATATTGAATGTGCGTTCAATTTGCTTCGATTGAATTCCTTAGCTGAGTATTGTTTTTTATTATTCCGGATGACTGGAGTGTATCTTTTGTCCGGAATATCTTCATGAGAGTGACCTTAGCATTAGGGCCCACTTCGGTCGAGTTAAGTAATTCTCCGAGTTTCAGTTTTTTATGTCTGAATGGACAGAACATGGGAGAAATGGTTATTTGCAACGCATGAAATATAGCACGAGTTTAGAAGAGTTCTCTGATGATCTTGCTGATGCGCTAATTCTAGTTGGTCCTTCAGAGACACATCATCTCTGCAGTTTGAAAGTAGGAGCTGACGCAGCTTGACCTTTCCATGCAATCTGCTATGTCATAGTTGACTTATGCAAGTTAATGATCACTTCCACAGATGTGCTTAGAAACCTTGGTGCGTATTTAGAATCACTGGAGATGACGAACACAACTCGATTCAGTTTCTGATGTTCAATGCTCGAGAATAAAGCTCTTCCACAGGCATTGGAAGATGTCAACATCTAAATTGTAATAAGCATGTTTAGAAGTGAAGATGAACAACTTATAGCTTTCACATCAGTCTCGAAACAAATTGTTAAATTGGACGTAGAGATTCCGGGGAAGCACTTGCATTCAAGAAAAATATCAAGCCACCTGTCGTTCGGCATATTTTGCCCAAAGACACAGAAGGACTCTTTTACAACGTCTACATCCGTGGTAAATAGTCAGATATCAGTGTTGGTAATTACCGTGAAGGACTTCAGCCGATAATTGCTGGAAGGGTGCCTCTTCGACGTCGTTATCAGTGTTGATTCTTATCGCCTATGAATTCAGGATCTTGGTTGCAGTTGGAGTTGGATTAATGTGCTCCCTCACTCCTATCCAAGAATCAATTTCCTTCTTGTCTAAGGGTGTATACACTCAATTATCTACTGACAAGGGTTCGTCCACTTGCGGTGGTTTTTTGGTGTCAATGACGTCCTTGTCGAAAGCAGCCTTGAAAGCGGTCTTGACGACGTTGACGTTGGCCACAACAGGGGTGTTTTCGTCTGCAAAGAAGGCCGTGCCGGTCACGCAGCTGGCAACAGGAGGGAACGTCCTAGCGCCGTCATTCACAGCGGCAGCGATCTGGTTCCTATTGAGGTTCAGGGTGAAGTGACACCTTTTGAATCCCTTCGTGGGTTACTCGACCATGGCGCCACAGCTGACAACAATCAGGATGAAAATTTCGGTTCCATATCCAGAATTGACTTTACAGAGGTAGATGTGTGCAATTGCTACTGCCTTCAGCCAGAACCGAAAATGTTGTAACATCGTAGGAGCGAGCAATGCAATTTGAAATTTGAAAAGAAGCCAAGGAATGAATCTGTCTCAAGCAAGAGTCACACAATGTTGAATCCCAGTAGTATCGCGGAGAGATTGTATAAAATCAGCGTCCCGAACATGTCAACCATACTGCTGTCTGTCTGTCTGTCTGTCAGGTGGCCTATGCTTTGACATCATTTAGCCGCCGCATTGATGACCACACTTCGCAATTCCTTCAGTACCTGATTGTTCCCCAGTGCCTCCATTACGGCAAAGATTCCTATGTAGTCATTCTGGTGGTAGTCAATGCGAAAACGAGTGTATGACATTTTTCCTCCATTGTGAAAACTAACTGCAGAAGAAGAAGACGTTGATTTTCCATCATGCCATGATGTCAAGGGAAGAGGGGAAGGCAGAGACCCTGCGTCTTCACATCATAGAGCTGGCAGAAGGCTGTGAAGCAGCAGCAGTGAGATGGACGGTTTGGGCAGGGAGGGAGGGAGGGAGGGGGGAGAGAGGGTAAGGAGGGGAAGAGATGACTTGGACGGGGAAACACAAGTTGTATCTTTCTTCAACTAACATGTAAATAGAAAAATATCATGTTTTTGGGGTATTGCTAATGCCATCACCCTGTATATTTTATTTATTTATTTATTCCAATTTTTAGTATATATATATATATATATATATATATATAATGGGAAAAGTTAAATAGCTCTAGATTTTTACTAAGTTGATCCATCCATCCTAACCATCATGAAAAAAGAAAATGACCTCTACATTCATTTCTCCACTATTGGATCCAAAACCAATGAAAACCAACCACATTCATCATGATTACCATGTTTTTTTTTTTTCCATCATAGGTAGGTTGATTTGAATATTGTATTTTAAAATATTTTCTCATCTGTTGAACACTATATCTAGGTCTATTTATCATTCTCCTATATTTTTATTCTCTTTCAAAATATAGGATAATTTTATTTTTATTTTACTAATATATATGAAAAAAAAGTGGTCTTTTATTTGACAAAGGATGTGAGTGGCATGTAATGAATGTGGTGGTAGTAACAAAAATTGTGGTCACATTATTAGTATGCTTGGTTTTATTATTGACTAGTTGCTCAGTATGGACTAATGTTCAGTATCCAATGGCTCAAGTTTTAGAGCACGAAAGATTGGGAATCTAACTTTGGGATTCAGGATTTAAATACTAGGATATAAGATGTAAAGTTGGGAGGAAAAGATAGCAATATTCAACAGATGAGAAATTATTTTATAATAATTGTTATGTAAAGTTTTTTTTTGTAATGTGAGATGGCAATGCACAAAATTTATAAATGTAACTGATATCTGCTGCTGTAGTTTTCAAAACGATCATCATCTATTTGAAAAAAATGTCTTGAATAGCATAATGCATTTTATGCATTGAATATGCTTTCATGTGTTTGATACATGGTGATACTTTCTTATCCATTCAGATACCAAAAATCAAGATTGCAAGCAATTTTGAAAATATGGTTTATTTTAATAAGTTTGATTGGGTAAATTATTTTAAACATGTCTATGTACTACTCAATGGTGTAGTTGTATAGTTACTAGTATTGCACATTTAGTGTGTAATATTGATATTCACAGTGATATTAATATCTGCAATGCAATGTATCATGTGTAACTAATTTAATTGTTACAAATTCTAGTGTATTAAACATAAATTGGATGGCAAAATTAGAAACAAAAATTGAAAACTTTAAAACCATCAATCTGACTTTTGTAGAATATTGTATTCAACTAAGTAATGAAACTACAATAAAAATATGATTTTTTTGTCAAGTATATTTTTTTAACATGATTATATATATATATATATATATATATATATATATTAAACATATATCTTAATTAAAATTATTATTTTTTGATATCTTAAATTTGAATTTCAAAAAAATTTAATAATAAATATTTATATTAACTGGTGTGTATATTTATGTCTAGAGTTAAAACTGATAATAATGATGCATAATTTATTTTTATTGAGCACACTTATATAATATACATTCATTTCTTTTTTATGTTGTTATAGGTATTTTCTTGGGTGAACAATGTGTTTTAACACTCTTTTTTTAGTAGAGTTTCAACTCGCTACAAAATTGCACAACAATCCTATTCTAAGCCCCTAACCATCCAAATATATAAATACACAAACCTATGTAACTAGATGCTATGAAAAACTTCTTTAACTGTTTTACAAAGTTTTTGTTGTTGAAATTCTATCTTTAAAATAATAAAAAATAACAATCATTGAATTTCTAAACACAATCTTCTCTTAAATCTCAGTGGACACTTAGAAAAAGTCCACAATGCAAACTTGACAAAAGTTTATAATAACAGTCAGTAAAAATATAACTATTCTTTAGGTGTATCTTAAAGTGAGAGAAGATGTTCTGCAATTGTAAAAAAAAGTGATGGTCAGTAGAAGAGAATCTGTATAGAATTTAATAAATAAATACAATTTAGAGTTGACTTTGTTATTTTCAATAAAAAATCAATATTAAACTCTACTGAAAACAATAATATTCCACAACAATGCCATCACTGTGCTCTAAAGGAGTGTAGATTATATGATTTTCCAACTTGAGCATTAGACAACCAAATTCTCTTCCAAACAAAGGATTTTAGGTCGTTCATATACATAATTACTGAACTACATACATACGCTAGTAGTACGTAGCAAAGGAAAAAAATAAACAGGACTGCATGATATCCAGTTCAATAAGACAAAACACGAGTCCATTTTATTATTGTGAAGAATCAGAGATAGGGGTCCATAATAGCTTGCCAGCTCGAGAAATGACGCTGTCAGATGTGCAGCCATAGGGCACCAAATATGGGACTACGGGAATAGGGGGTCACCAAGTCCACGTCCTCATGGCTACCTCGTGCCATGTAAGATCTAATCTCAAGGTTGTACACGAAGCAGATGGATGAGGTCATTCAAATGACTTTAAATATATAAATAAATAAATAAATAATGGAATGTTAATAAGACCCAGGGTTTTACAAAATTGACCCACCCATTTAACCATCATGGAAAAAAAACAAAAAAAAAAAAAAAAAAAAAATGACATTTAAAATATTATTCTACTATTTGATCCAAAGTCAATGAAAACCAACCACATTCATCATGATTACCATATTCTTTATCATTGGTAGGTAAATTTAGTAAAAACATGGGTCTACTTAACATTCCCCTAAATAAAATCTTGTGTTGTTTTTCTTTACAGTTTTGTTTATTTATCTAACAACATCTTCTTTTTCAAACCATGTTTAAAATAAATGAATTAAAGTAATTATCAAGAATGGTAACAATTGTCATAAATATCTGAAATATATAAGTGGTTGTTAATTAATTAGATTGTTGGTGTCTTCTTTGTAAAATATTGTGGTAGCCTCCTAGACCTAGGTTGGATATATGAGTGCTTTTGAATGTGCCACATGGCTATAATGATTTTCTCCTAATTGTTATGTAAATCAAAATTATTATGTAACTATTCAATTGTTTCATTAGGATTGATGTTGGTTCAAACCTAGACATACTACAATTATCAACACATGTGTATGTGTGTATGTACACAAAATACTATATTCTTATTTTTTTAATTCCCATATATATATTAAAAATTCTACAGGTTTAACTCATTCATGAGACTTCATACTTGTATTTTATTTTTCTAAGACAAGTTCTTCTATGGTTTTAAAAAAATACTATGTTATATTTATTTTATTTTTTTTGCAAAATTTTAGAACTTTAATTATAATCTACTTAGTTTGCCAATGTTTAAATAAGTTGACCAATTTTTAGAAATATAATTTTTCATCTGTCAAAAACTTTACTTGAACGTAAATAAAAATGAAATTCTTTGTTTGTAATATATTTATCTTTTGTCACAACATTAGATTTAACAGTAATAAAATTCTTTCAATAGATTTTCAGTTTGTCTTATTTATTTGTTTTCAGTTCAATTCTCAAACATTCACTTCCTTTTTTCTCTTTCATAGTTTGTATAGCAACAACACAACTCATTATATATATACATACAATGAATTATATGTATATATATTAAAGTCATATTGCATTTGTTTCAAACAATTTTTACAATTCAAAATTGTATTCTCCGACCACATACATACATGCATATGCATGCAAATTACTTATTTTTACTTATTTGCAGTCTTTTCCTCAGAAACTAGCATTTCAAACAATCAATCTTCTATACTTTTCAATTTTCTATTATGATTTTCATGTGTAGTTTTTTTTTTTTTTTTTTTTTTTTTTTTTTTTTTTAAATTATTTATTAAATTCATATTAAATTCACATGTGTTCAATTCAAATTGTTACAAATTTATCTGTAACTCAATGTGGGAGGATAATTTTAGCTGATTTTCCCAATACAATTGTGAACAGAGATGGTGCCCCTAATTTTTTTTATTTAATTGTTTCAATAAAAAATTAGCCAATCATCTGTCCTTAAAGTCAATTGATCGAATTAATTTTTGAGAAAAAGAAGTTAATGCTACATAAATGAAAAATGAAGAATACACAATAATTTAGCATACTCCATTTATAAAATTCTTGAAAGGACATTTATTCTAAAACCAAAATTTAATTTTGAATACACATTGTGCATTTACAATTTCTCAAAATTTATGGATGTTGATTTACAAGGAATCACAAACCAAATTTCTTAATTGATGAAATCAATTATTTTTCAAAAAAATTCTGTTTACATTAAACTAATTATATTAGTATTATGTCATTATTAGTTTAAAAGTTCAATATTGAACAAAAAATAATAATACTCCAATTTTCTATAGAAAATATCAAAATTTGTTCAATAATATTGTATGTATTAGCCCAAATACACTAATTAAAAAATATTTGTGAATTAACTATCATTGAGCTTATTACATAGCTACCTGTATTTATTTAAGAAATTGTTAAATTTACCCCAGATTTTTACTAAATTGACCCACCCATCCTAACCATCATCAAAAAAAATCTCCACAACCGGATCAACATTGGATGCAAACCAATGAAAAAATGGTTGGATCCTCAACCACCAATGATGATGGGTGGGTAAATTTAGTAAATACTTGGGTCAATTTAAAAATTTCCTTTTATTTACTTATTTTTTAATAAATACATAAATCAACACAAACAAAGCAACAAGTTTCTTGAGAATTCAAAGGGAACAAAGCGAACAAGGAAGAATAGAAGTGGGAAGCATCGGAAGTAGAGTCCTAGTCAGAAAGGCTCAGACCATCCGACGTGGACACAGTGAGTGAGGGGGATGACGGGGCATGGACAAACGGAGAATTGGCTCACCCGCGTGCTGCGCTGGCATTCAGGCTGCTGAGGTGGCACACCACGAAGGCCATGCAAACCCATCCCGGGCAGGGCCAACCCCTAATCCCACCCCCAAGCAAACGGAACAAAAAACAGAGAACCAAATCCCACCGCGTTCAAATCTCATCACGCCAATGCCATGCTCTACCAACAATCGCGAGAATCGTACACCCACACGCACTCTCACACACGTACCCACCAGAAAAAATTTACCCGACAAGGGCAAAACGAAAAACCAACAAAACGAGATCAAGCCTGATCAGCACGGCGCACGCGAAAAGAGATGCCGCAACGGCTTTGGCGATGGTGGAATCTCGGTGCCCGTGGGGGGATTTTCGGATTTTCGCAGTGGGGAAACATGGGCACGGGGGTAAGTTAGTGAAGCAGCCTATTTGAGCAGCCCAAAGGTCAGGCAAATGGGTGTAAACCAAGCATTGGGCATGGGGGCGGAAGTCGCGGTGCCATTTCGGTGCAGGGGAAGGGTTGCCACAGGGGGTGTGGGCCATAAGGCACGCGAGGGAATTCGGAGAGCAGAAAGCAGGAATAGTATTCCTCCGTGGGCACGGGGATGGCTTATGATCCATTAGGAGTTCTGTTGGGGCAGCGAAGGCTCTCCGTCGTCATGGGATGAGGCGACCAGAGGACCGCCAAGTTGGATCGATCGCCGAATGGGCTCCGTGGCCGTGACGCGGGCGGCCCCCGCCACCACGCCCTTGCGTGCCGTTCATGGCGCGCGCTTTGGCTTCTCTATCTCTCTGATCTCTGCTGATGCTCAGCCGTGGTTCGGCCCCAAGCCTGGGGAAAGCGCTGGCTCGGGCCCAGATTCCTCCTACGCTCGTCGCTGAGGAGGAGGAGGAGGAGGAGGAAGAGGCGGGACCACCGCAACGACAGACTAGAAAAGTATCGTGTCTTTGTAGCATCTGAGCGCGTGTTCATCAGCTCCTACACGATTTTAATGATTCTGGGGATCTGTATTGTCCTGAGCTGGCTGTGACGCCCAGACTGGTAGGACAGGGTTTTGGGCGCCGCCGAGAGGTCTCGTGCGAGCATTTGACGTGAAGGGAGTCGCGATCGGTCCAACTTCAGGGTTGGGTGGTTTCTCGATCGACAGAAGAGGGAGAGAGAGAGAGAGAGAGAGAGAGCGGGGAAGAGCGTAGTGGTTGATCCGACGAGGGTGAGATTTCCGGTTATTTGGCAGTTGTTTTGGGGGGTGGGGAGGGGGGAGGGCGATCGGGGGTGTGTATGTTTTGGTTCTTCGCTGATTTTCTTGTTGAGGTGTGTAGAAAGGAGGGAGAAGTCGAGTTGTAGTGATTGACTTGTAAATTGTGTTTGTGGGAATTATCGAAGTTCAGTGTGGTTGGTGCTGAGGAAGGCGAAGGTTTTGGTGGTTTTGTAAGTAATGTGCGTAGTTTCTTTTTCATGAATGGTCGTGTTGGATCGCTGGTTGTTGTGTATAAGCCTAAGGATAGCGTGCTTTGCGTTCAGGGAACCTGCTTTGCTTTTTCCACTGTCGTATTTTCAGGCAATTTTGGGCCACAGCCCTCTGGTTAGGGGTATTTAGCCATTTGCATGCCTCTCTCTCCCCCGCCTCCCGCCTCTCGTTAGAGTTAGCCTGGTCGGATTGCATGCAACCTCTCACCATATTCGCTTTCATTGGGTCTTTGCAGATTTGATGTTCCCATCTATGCCCTGGTTCACTGTTTTGACTCCTGAGAGTTCACTATGACAGATTGCGGGAGCATTGAGCTGCGCGCTGAAGGGATCGATTGATCGGTTACACCAGGAAAAGATATGTACCCTATGTAGAGCTCACGAAACTTGTCTAAAGCGGAATCGTGAGCAGTTCTCATAACTACGACCATGGCAGCGTGTCAGCAGACTCTCTCCCAGTTCGGTTCTCAGTACAGCTTGACGTACGCCAGTCTGCCCAGAGCGCCTGTATCCACATGTACACATAAAGCTCACTGGCTTAAGGCCCTTAGGTTCACAGGACTCAGGAGGGCATCTCTGAATCTGTCTCCGAGGGACAGATTGCACCAGAGGCAGCAGAGTTGCCTGCATTTTTCAGATGTATCACCTGTCAAAGGGTTAGGCTTGAAGCCGGTGTTGGCGGGTCTGTCGGGGGTGCCAGAAGGAAATCTTGGACTCTATGATCCTTCTTTCGACAAGGACTCATGCGGTGTTGGCTTTGTGGCAGAACTATCTGCCAAACCAAACCGAAAAATCGTAAGTGCTATCTAAACGAGTCGATTACTTGGAAGCTCTGGTATTCTCTCTGTATGGTTTTTATTCTAGTAAAAAGTTGCTTCTACATTAGATTTCATTTCACCGAATTGTCACTACTGAAAAGTGAGGAACAACATTTTTTGCATAAATCGAGAATTTTGACGTCATGGCCCCTCTAACGCAAAGAATCACTGGTACATTCTGTGACATCAATCCTGCATCGAAGACAATGTAGCTCTCTTCGTGTCATATGACATACATACACTCTTTTCCGTTGGTCTTCTGAATTAAGTCTTATGGTGATACTGAATTGTTGCTTAATTTGTTCTAATTTAGGTAGCTGACGCGATAGAAATGCTGGTGCGCATGAAACATCGAGGTGCCTGCGGGTGCGAAGTGAACACTGGTGACGGAGCCGGTATTCTAGTCTCATTACCTCATGACTACTTTGCAAAGGTACAAATAATGATCTGACTGGAAATGAACTAATTTTCAAGAATTCCGGAATCGACATCATTCTGATTACTTTTCATCTGAAGAGAATCGTCAGAAGATGAACTCTGCAGAACTGATGAAGTACTAATTTGAGGTTTTCGCAGGTGCTGAGAGAGGATTTAGATTTGGATCTTCCTCCCATCGGTAAGTACGCCGTCGGCATGGTTTTCTTACCAACGATTGAACACAGGCGCGAGGAAAGCAAAAAGGTGTTCAATAAGGTAAGCATTTTCTTCCTCACAATTCCTTCTGTGATATTACATAACTTGATAATTTGATAACCTTCTTCCGAGTAATAAGAATGTCGTTAATCTACTTGGGTATATGGCGTCTGTGTTGATTGGTGATTGCTATATATATATATATATATATATATATATATATATACACGGACGGCAGCTAGGAGTAATAAGTCCATACATGATTTTTTAGGTTGCAGAATCACTTGGGCACAAGATTCTGGGATGGCGCCCCGTCAAGACTAATAACTCTGGACTTGGAAAGGGAGCAATCGACACCGAACCTGTTGTTGCACAAGTCTTCCTTACTCCAAGCTCCCGCTCCACCAATGATTTTGAGCAACAGGTCTTATTGCAGGATTTTCTTTGTTTTATCTGAAAGATGACCAGTCTCTTTTTACAGTACAATTCCATATTAGTGTCCGCAAGGTCATGGAATGGAACTGGATCAGACTTTAACTATTCTCTTATGGAGAATTTAGAATGAAGGTATGGATAGTTTATGTTTTTTTGGGCCTTTGTTTAACTTGGTTTATTGTTGCTATGCAACAGATGTATATATTGAGGAAGACTTCAATGATTGCAATTCGAGCTGCTCTAAATTTAGCTTACGGAGCTTCAAAAGATTTCTACATATGCTCGCTTTCCTCCCGGACCATTGTGTATAAGGGTCAGCTGAAGCCAGATCAGTTGAAAAACTATTACTACAACGATTTGGGTGACGAGCGATTCACAAGTTACATGGGACTGGTTCACTCCAGATTTTCTACCAACACCTTTCCGAGCTGGGACCGAGCTCAACCCATGCGAGTTCTAGGCCACAACGGCGAGATTAATACCCTTCGTGGCAACGTGAACTGGTAAGTAGGGACGATCCAGTTTCCAACCTGCTCGGCAACTTGTCTTGTTATAAATTGCTTGCAAGGAAATGTTGCAGTTGTGGATTCTAAAATATGTGTGTGTGCGCTTTAGGTGGCACTGTGTTCTATATTTGTGTTCAATTGGATTAGGCATATAGCGATTGATTTAATTCGGAGCTTATATCCCCTGGTTGATTTTTTCTTTATACTTTTCCATGAAGCCAGCTGTCAGTGTTACCAATGGAAACAGAATTGGCCTCGTGCAATCGATTTGATGAGCATATCGAGATTGTTGGGTTCTTTATAGATTTAATTTTTGTCATTTTAAAGATTCGGTGGTATTGAAGGATGCACGCAAGAGAGGGTTTACTACAATGTAATGCGTTAAACTTAACAAAAGATGAGCTCCAGAAGCTTCTACCAATTGTCGATGCTGGATCCTCAGATTCTGGTTAGTTCTTCATCTGATCTGATCGCTAAGTGATGATCTTATCCTTGAGCTGCACAAATTAAATCTTTTGCTTTCGATTTGTTATCCTTATGAGTTGAAATAAGACGATATTGTAGGGAGGGAAAGTACAGGTACAAAATTTAATGAATTTTACGGAAGTGATCATTGATACACGGGTGTTCAGGGGCATACGACGGAGTGCTTGAACTTCTCATGCGGAGCGGTAGGGACCTACCTGAAGCAGTTATGATGATGATCCCTGAAGCCTGGCAAAATGACAAGCTCATGGATCCAGAGAGGCGTGCAATGTATGAGTATTTTTCATGCCTCCTCGAGCCGTGGGATGGTCCAGCTCTCATCTCATGTAAGTTGCGACCTCTTGTATTCCTGACTCGTGGAATAATTTACTCATATGCTCGATAAAAGCTTGATGGTTTGTTTTGACTTTTCAATAGTAATGCTGGTTTTAAACTCGATTGTAATGCATTGCAACAGTTACCGACGGGCGGTATTTGGGAGCTAAGCTGGATCGGAACGGATTACGTCCAAGTCGATATTATATAACGCACGATCAGAGAGTAATAATGGCTAGTGAAGTTGGTGTTGTCGACGTCGATTCTAAAAACGTGTTTAAAAAGGGTCGCCTTTTTCCTGGTATGATGCTTTTGGTGGATTTTGAGAAGCACAAAGTTGTTGATGATGAAGAGCTCAAAAAGAAGTACCAAAGTCGGTACCCATACGCTGAGTGGCTACAACGCCAGAAGCTCACGCTGGAAGAGATTGTGGAATCTGTTCCCGAGGAAAAGCGAGTGACGCCCCCCATCATTGGAGCGCTGGAGGTTAGTTACACACTACTTTACCTCTCAAGCACAGCAGTCTACATTATTGGAGGTTTTTGGATACCTTCAGTTGTCGGGAGATGGATAATGTTACGCGGCGCACTGTGTAACTTGTACAGTTTATATGAGTGATTTGGTTCTCGTTGTAATCAGTAATTGTAGCCAATGTTGTTTTCTATTCAGATCCTTTTTTCCAAGCTCGCAAGTGTATTACTAGTTTAATTCCTTGTGCTATTATATAACTGCATCGTTTTCGTGATTGTGTAGGTGAAAACTTCGGACGAAACAATGGATCATATGGGAACGAGAGGGATCATAGCCCCTCTGCGAGCTTTTGGGTACATTTCAATTCTGTTACTGGTGATCGATACAATATGTTTTTAGTCCACATTCTTTCCCGCAGTGCACATGTATTCCGATTCAACAATAAATTGTTTTCAGGAATCTCTTCGGCTTGTTATGATATCAGGCAGCATTTTGAAACATTCCTTGGGATAGTAGTACAGTCCGTCAACAGGCTTAGAGACTTGAATATCATCATAATAGCTGTTTGATTCTGATTATTAACGACATAGGACTGTTGTTATGCACCAGATACACGTCGGAGAGCTTGGAGTTGCTGTTATTACCCATGGCGGATGACGGTACGGAGGCCTTAGGGTCCATGGGTAATGATACGCCTTTGGCCGTGATGTCTGATCGACCTAGGCTCTCCTTTGAGTATTTCAAGCAGATGTTTGCTCAGGTGAGCTTTGTCCGGGTCCTTGTTTTTGGTGCATGATGTTGACCATCCGTGTCGACGTAGTTTTGTCTGGACTTCATACTCAACATCCAGGAGCAATTGGTTGACTTAAGCCCATGTAGTATTTTTTTCGTTTATGTTCTATATATTCCCATGTCAATTGCTTCCTAATTTACTCATTATAACCACGTCCATCTTGTTTTTTTAAATTAAAATTTTAGCGTAGTTGTTTTAAATGTTTTCCTTGAAGATGAAATTACCTTCTGTTCTTATCAATAAGTATCAGATTTTGTTCTGATCACTGGTTCGTAGCCAACTAGGTCATGATTACAAGAGAATCTAATATTGGACTCGGGATTCTGAAGCGGTGATTTTTCTATAATTGTTTTTCCTCAGGTTACCAATCCGCCAATTGATCCCATCCGTGAAGCAGTAGTCACATCGACAGAGTGCATGGTTGGTCCAGAGGGCGACCTAACAGAAGTTGCAGAGTCGCAGTGCCATCGTCTCTCGCTCAAGTCTCCTCTTTTGACATTGAAGGAAATGGAAGCCTTAAAGAAGACAAATTATCGTGGTTGGCGGTCGAAGGTTATTGACATCACTTTCCCAAAATCAGATGGAATTGACGGACTTGAAATGGCGCTGGATCGCATCTGTGCTGAGGCAAGGCTTGCCGTAAGTGATGGATACACTGTTCTTGCCCTTTCAGATCGAGGTACATATTTTTTCTAGCCATTGCTCAGTAATTTCTGCAAATCTTTATTTGGTGGGCAACAGTGCACTTCAAGCTTTGCCCGAACCTATGCGGTGGTTGCCGGGTTTGGAAATTCGTGGTATAAAATATTATTGGATTATCAATATCAGTGACTCTAGCTTAAACAAGCTAACGATTCCATCACGTCTGCGAAGTCCTTAGAACACTACCATCAATTCACCTCCTTCTGTGGTCAAAGCATGTGCCTGTGGGTGTCCGTGTGCTTAGAGGTGTGGTATGAAAGAACAATGAGTAATCGTTGAAATTTTGCTGTAAATGTAGCTACGTCGGCACAGCGAGTACCAGTAAGCTCCTTAATAGCTGTGGGGGCTGTGCATCACCACTTGGTGGCGTCACTGGAACGCACACGGGTTGCGCTGGTTATTGAAACTGGGGAACCCCGTGAGGTGCATCACTTCTGCACGTTGGTAGGATTTGGTGCGGACGCTATATGTCCCTACTTGGCCATTGAAAGTATTTACAGGTGATTGCTGTCTCCATGCTTCTGCTTTGTTCATGTCACGCCCCATTATTTGAGAGTTATTTTTTACCCCTTTTTTTCTCTCTTTAAAGATGGTGTTGAGTGAAGTTTTCACATGACTCACTTTTGCTTCACATAAATGCAATGTGAGAGTAGGCTTCAGGTTGATGGGAAAGTCGCACCAAAGAAGGATGGTACACTGTGGAGTCGCGAGGAGATTGTTGCTAAGTACTTCAAAGCTAGCAACTCTGGCATGCTTAAAGTTCTTGCTAAAATGGGGATCTCAACGTTGGCCTCATACAAAGGAGCTCAAATTTTTGAAGCACTTGGGCTTTCTACTGAGGTTGTTCAACGGTGTTTTAAGGGTACACCATGCCGAATTGAGGGTGCAACGTTTGAAATGCTTGCTCAAGACATGTTGCGTATGCATGAACTTGCCTTCCCGTCTCGTCACCTACCAGACGGTTGCGCTGATGCCGTAGCATTGCCCAACCCTGGGGACTACCACTGGCGTTTGAGAGGTATGTGCTATTTTCGTGTACCTGTGAGTTGAATCAAATGTCTAAAGATAATTTGCTTACAACATGTGGCGAACCAACATGTGGCGAACACATGTGCTCAAATCATGTTCTTGGATAGACTCTGATTGCTTCGGATATCTGAGGGCTGCCGCTGTGAATGATGTTTATGCATACTGTCGGTAAAATTATGAAGATAACAAGAGTGTGTGTAAAAGGTCATCAACATATACAAGAACATAGGGAACAAATCTTTATGCTGGGGGGTGTTGCTTGATGAGCAGGGGAGATCCACATGAATGATCCTGATGCCATTGCGAAGCTTCAAGAGGCGGCTAGAACTGGCAGCACTGCTGCCTACAGAGAGTACTCCCAAATTATTCAAAAACTAAATAGGAAGTGCAACTTGCGCGGGTTGTTGAAATTCAAGGATTTACCGGAATCCGAACAAATTCCGTTAGATGAGGTAGAACCCGCATCGGAAATTGTGAAGAGATTTGTCACTGGTGCTATGAGCTATGGATCCATCTCTTTGGAGACTCATACGACACTTGCGGTAGCCATGAATCGACTAGGAGGAAAGTCTAATACAGGTACTTGTTGACGATTGGTTGTTCTCAAGTTCATTGTTCTGCTCCAATGAGAATAAAGTGACTACCGAAGGCAACTATTTGGTGGTAGTTACCAAAACCTCTATGTACTCTATGAGCTTTAGCGCTTTGATTTTTACTCGGAACTGCGCTTTTGCTTATGATCACAGGAGAGGGTGGCGAGCAGCCGGAGCGCATGGAACCACTTGAGGACGGTAGTATGAATCCCATGCGGAGCGCTATTAAACAAGTTGCAAGTGGGCGTTTCGGTGTGACGAGTTACTACCTCACAAATTCAGACGAGATTCAAATTAAAATGGCTCAGGTACTTGTATCACTTCTACTACTTCCTTCATCTATTAACGTCTTTATTAAATGCTGCTCTGAAATTTTGATTCTGATCAGTTCTAGAACGCGAATTCCGTCGTGATCAATTAGAATTGTTAATTCAAAAAATACGCGTTTTTCGTTGTTATGAACAGGGAGCAAAGCCTGGAGAAGGAGGAGAGTTACCAGGACATAAAGTGATCGGAGACATTGCAATCACGAGGAACTCTACTGAGGGTGTTGGCCTCATCAGTCCGCCTCCACACCATGACATCTACTCTATTGAAGATCTTGCACAGCTTATCTATGACCTCAAGGTTAAGTTCGAATAATGACTATTTCAAGCTTTACTGTTTTTTTGTATAATTCTGTTGTACTGGATTTACGCCTTCACTCAATTACGTTTGTTCGTTCTGAACTGAATTTTACTGCAAGTCGTTTTGCAGAATTCCAATCCAGGAGCGCGTATCAGTGTGAAGCTTGTTTCAGAATCTGGAGTTGGAGTGGTTGCAAGTGGAGTTGTTAAAGGCCATGCAGACCATGTTCTTATTGCTGGACATGATGGAGGAACTGGCGCGAGCAGATGGACTGGCATCAAGAATGCAGGACTACCATGGGAGCTTGGGCTAGCTGAGACGCACCAAACTTTAGTTGCCAATGGGCTACGGGGACGCACAACTGTCCAGACAGATGGTCAGCTGAAAAATGGACGAGATATTATGGTAGCTGCCCTTCTAGGAGCTGAGGAGTTTGGGTTTTCGACTGCTCCTTTAATTACATTGGGTTGCATCATGATGCGCAAATGCCACAAGAATACATGCCCTGTAGGCATTGCAACTCAGGACCCAGTTTTGAGGGAAAAGTTCGCTGGACAGCCTGAGCATGTTATCAACTTCTTTTTCATGGTGGCGGAGGAAGCTAGGGAGATCATGGCCTCGTTGGGGATTCGTAAGATGGACGACCTTATTGGTCGAGCGGATCTTTTAGAGGTATGACATGCTCATTATCAATTTCTAGAACTGCGGGACTGTTACCTGAAGAAAATGTCCGAATCAGTTGTGTAATGTGTATTGCAAGTTACACTGGTTGCAATGGATGGTTTGAAACTAAAACTTTTCGGTGGCGCAATGTGTAGATGGACAGGGAAGCAATGGGAGAGAACGAGAAAGTGGGCAACATAGATCTATCTTTACTTCTGCGCCCAGCTGCTGAGATCCGGCCTGGTGCTGCGCAACGGTGCGTCGAAGCACAAGATCACAACCTGGAGGAGGCTTTGGATCAGAAGCTAATTGCCCTCGCACAACCAGCCTTGACAAAAAAAGTACCTGTGTATGTTGAAACACCGGTTGTCAATGTGAATCGAGCTGTGGGTACTATGCTCAGCCATGAGGTGACCAAGCGATTCAACCGTACAGGGCTTCCTACAGATACTATTCATGTGAAGCTCAATGGCAGTGCAGGACAAAGTCTAGGTGCCTTTTTATGCTCTGGAATCACACTTGAGCTCGAGGGTGACAGTAATGACTACGTCGGAAAAGGTTTGTGCGGTGGGAAGATTATAGTGTACCCCCCAGCGGATAGTACCTTCGACCCAAAAGAGAATATAGTGATTGGTAATGTAGCATTGTACGGAGCCACAAGTGGAGAAGCCTACTTCAATGGTATGGCTGCAGAAAGATTTGCTGTTCGTAACTCGGGGGCGAATGCAGTCGTGGAAGGGGTTGGTGATCATGGCTGTGAATATATGACCGGAGGTAAGGTGGTCGTGCTTGGAGAGACGGGCAAAAATTTTGCAGCGGGCATGAGTGGCGGCATTGCCTATGTCCTTGACAAGGAAGGTCTGTTTCCGAAGAAGTGCAATACGGAGCTGGTGGATTTAGATCCTGTGGAAGAGGAGGATGACATTATGACGCTTAGGTCCTTGATTCAACAGCACCAACGTGCTACTAATAGCCGTCTTGCGCGATATGTCCTCAATCATTTCGAAGCGTTGCTTCCGAACTTTATCAAGGTTTGTGGCTCCTTGGTTTAGGATCGTTGCATTTCTTTTACTTCCCCCAAGTCGTTAAGAATTTTTCAGATGATTGTTTTGGTTGTTATAATTTGCCAGACCTGATCATGGCCTAGAAGTTATGTTTCCAAGTTAAATAAGCATTGAATCACTATTTTTCTCGTAATTTTTGGCTCATTTTGACTGCAGGTTTTCCCGAGGGACTACAAGCGTGTGGTCAATGAAAAGAAGGCGAAGGAAGCAGCCGAAATAGCCGCAAAAGAAGAAGAGATAGAGCTCTCGAAGAAAGATGCTTTTGCCGAACTTCAAAAGCTTGCGGCGCAAAGCGCCCCTGCCATTGCGGGCATCAACGCAGCATCGAATGGTGCCTCGAAGGTAAGCTTCTGAATAATTATAAAGCCTACGTCAGTGAACGTTACTAGCATATTGCACAAGTGGTCAGCATAATGCAAGGTACTCCAGTTCTGAACTCTAGTACTGTTGTGCTCACCAGGTAGAACGACCAACAAAGATCTCTGATCCCCAAAAGCACGGAGGATTTGTTAAGTACGAGCGCGAGTCTCTGCCATTAAGACCTACTGAGGAGCGTTTGCAAGATTGGGATGAGGTTGTTGAGCATGGCATCAACGAATCCCTTCTCAAGACTCAGTCAGCCAGGTGTATGGATTGTGGAACTCCGTTCTGCCATCAGGTATACATAGAACTTTTATAACATTCGACTTTCAATACATAGTGCCCAGTTCTTCACCTCTGTACTTAGTTACAGAATCCTACTAGTTTCACCGCTTTTTGTGTCTTTTCGTTAGTCCCTTAACATCGCTTATGGTGCTATGTTGTACTTTAACCTTGTACGTGTGTAAATTCTGTATTGGACAGGACCATAGTGGGTGTCCATTAGGAAACAAGATTCCTGAGTGGAATGAGCTTGTGTACCAAGGAAGATGGCGAGAAGCTTTGGACAGGCTCTTAGAAACTAATAACTTTCCCGAGTTTACCGGTCGTGTTTGCCCTGCTCCATGTGAAGGCGCCTGTGTTCTTGGGATCATTGAGAATCCAGTCACCATTAAGACCATGGAGTGTACTATCATCGACAAAGGCTGGGAAATGGGTTGGATGGTGCCACGGCCCCCGGAAGAGCGAACCGGGTATGGTTCTGTCAAACGAAAGGGCTTTTTCATTCGCATGTTAATGGGCTTACTTTTTGTAAAATTAACTACTTTTAGAAGATAGTTAAAGTTTATGATTCCAAAATGTTAAACAGAATTAACAGTTTCCTAGTGTTCCAAGTTTTTATAATCTACTGATTAAAGTCTTTATGATGCCTCAGGAAGAAAGTCGCAGTAGTTGGAAGCGGGCCGGCTGGGTTGGCAGCTGCTGACCAACTCAACAAAGCTGGTCATACAGTGACCGTGTATGAGCGTTCTGACCGCGTAGGTGGTCTCATGATGTATGGTGTTCCAAACATGAAGACAGATAAGATTGACGTTGTTCAACGGAGGGTCGACTTGATGGCTGCTGAGGGTATCAAGTTCGTTACTAATGCTCATGTCGGTATGGATCCATTATACTCGATTGACACCTTACGTGCGGATAATGATGCCCTTCTGCTAGCTTGCGGCGCTACAAAGCCCAGGTATGGTTCTATAAGTTGGAACCTGAAAATCTGGTTCAAGTCGCTGAGAAGTTGTGTCTTAAGTATTTCACTTCTATAGGTACATCATTAATTTCAGTTGTGCCTTTTCCCGTAACCTCAAGTAATCCTAAAATTTGATTTGGTATATCCTTGCATTTAGGGACTTGCCCATTCCTGGCCGAGACTTGAGCGGAGTACATTTCGCAATGGAATTTTTGCACGCAAACACAAAGAGCCTGCTGGACAGTGGGCTTCAAGATGGCAACTACATATCAGCGAAAGGAAAGAAGGTGGTGGTTATTGGAGGTGGTGATACAGGAACCGATTGTATTGGAACCTCCGTCCGCCATGGGTGCTCTGCTATGACCAATCTTGAGCTTCTCCCTCAACCCCCTCCTACAAGGGCGCCTGGAAATCCTTGGCCACAGGTAAGCCAACACCCTTCTTCAAAGGTTTTTACATAGGCTCTAGTTGCAATCCAGGAGCCTGAATATTAGTAATACAATAATTTTGTTTGAAGTCTTTTATTTCGTTTTTCTTTTTAATGCGAACTATCTTCATTTTGGAATCCTCGCCTAACTTCAAAAAAAAAATAATCTGTTTACATTTTGCAGTGGCCTAGAATATTCAGGGTCGACTACGGACATGAGGAGTCCGCTGCAAAATTTGGTACTGACCCGAGGACTTACGAAGTATTAACGAAGAGATTTATTGGAAACGATGAAGGAAAATTGACTGGGTTGGAGATCATTCAAGTGAAGTGGGAAAAGGACTCGACTGGCAAGTTCCAGATGCAGGAGATTCCTGGATCAGAAAAAATAATTGAAGCAGATCTCGTCTTCCTAGCACTTGGCTTTCTGGGACCAGAGCAAGTAAGTGCTCCCTTCAATTGCTTTGTCTCTCTTCTAAAACTTCCTCACCGCATTTTTTCACTAACCAAGGGTTGCGTATCAGGAACCTTTCAATCCTTCAACGTACAGCATTATCTCTGAAGTGTTGGCATGCATTCATATCTAAAAATTCATATCACTTTTTGTTGATATCCTTGGAATACAGAGTTGTTTAGTCCCCTGATGTGACAATTATTTCGTTGCAGAACATCGCCGAGAAGTTGGGCCTAGAATGCGACCCCAGGTCGAACTTCAAGGCCGATTACGGCCAGTTCACAACAAATCTGGAAGGTGTGTTTGCGGCAGGAGATTGTCGGAGGGGTCAGTCACTGGTAGTGTGGGCAATAGCTGAAGGACGACAAGCTGCCGACAAAGTAGACAATTATCTGATGAAAGATGTCCCAGTTGAGGAAAATGCTAAGTCGCATGTGGAAGGTAATGGCTATGGGGTTGGGAAGCCGAAAGAACGACGGTACCCGGAAGGTTTGGACAAAGCCAAAGAAGAAGCTGTGGAAGCGTGCATTGCAGTACATGGCTCCGAAGATTCGGACGCGTTGAAAAAGTGTGTCGAGTTGAGTGTGGAGACTGCTGCACTAGGCGATAACAGCGTTGTATCTGAGCAAAGCTACTAGTAAAAATTAGTTTACTTTTGTAGGTTGTGATTAGAATAGAAGGGTTGTTTGTTAGACTTGCAACCAGTAATTTCGACATGAACAAAGCTTGCTTACATTATTGTTGTCACAAAAGTATGCAAGGGCAGCACTATAATGTAGTACACGTAGTAATATAATTTGAACAATGAACATTGTTCAAAATGCCAAAAGAATTTTGCAGATATGCTTTTACGTTGTTGATGCTTATATCTCTTCTCCAGTCATTATTTCAAGAAATTAGGATATAGAAATAAACACGTCAAATCTAAAAAAACGAGGCCTATATATGTATGTAAATGTGAACAGTGACCGTGCAAATAATCAGCATAGTGTCTGCAGTGTGCATATATTAATCGGCGTCTCATTTCCATTACATGTTTCAACTGATAATAAGGGGTAAAACTTTAAAAAAAGTTTAGGGTTTGGGGGGTGAAAAAAAGATCTGGCAACTAACATCAGACTTGATCTTCTGAAGTATTAGACTTATTTCAGATTCTTCAAAAAATGATCCCTGGAGGTAGTTATTTGACACCTATTCAAGAAAAGATTTGCTAGTATTTTGCTTCATGTGTTGCTCCTGAGAAAACTTGGTTTAGTTAGAATTTTTTGTTGTTAGCTACTGTCAAATCCTCTACTTCTGCAACATAATTGTCAATATATCAAAGAACTCTGGATGATGCGTGCTTCTCTCCACCTTTCAACAACTTGGTATGATTGCTTACAAGCAAGACAATGACTTGGAGTTTAAAGAGTTTAGTCAATTGTTTGCTTTGGCATTGCATGCTCAATACATTAATAATAGAACTTTTATTGTCAAAAGTCAAGACTTCTTTTTGAACTATCTCATGTTCCAACCACCATCCATGTTAAAGTAGCACGTTTGCACCACATACGTTTTCGTGCACTCATAGGTCATCTTGAGGGGCACCTTGTCTTCTATAAGGCCAAGGTTGTCTATAAACAACAATATTGCATACCAAGTTGCCATTTGTTTGATGTGTCTTGGTAGCTATGGTAATGGAATAGCCCTTTACCATGCATAGAGGATTTTTGGAGATAGTGAAGGCTCTATTGTCATGTACACCACATCATCTGAGTTCTTTATGACATAAGACAACAATGGATTGTTGACCAAACATTAAGAAAAGAAATGAGACCTCAACAACAATGGAAAGATAGGGCTTTTTAAGTTGCATTGGTTTTTTAAAAGGAATGACTTTATTGCACTACCAAAAGCCAACTATCAACAATGCTATTTACTTTGACAACAAGTACATATATTCAATATATATCTAAGTCGTTTATGGCTACAACAAATGTGTCATTGCTTACTACTTTGGCTGGCTTGGCCCTTTTCTTGACTCCATTGCCTACAAGAACACTTCTTTGTATAAGAATCTTTAAAAACATTTTAGATTAAGACAATATCTACTTGCAAACTTTGTTTATGCATTATCTAAAATAATTGTCATCTCTTGCTGCTTCTTGACCTTGCTTTTATCAAAAGATATAAAATTCAACTATTATATGGCTATGGCTAAGATAAGGAATGAACACTACATATGGTTGCAAAAGGCAAATGGAAATCAATTAGAGAGATGAAGAAATTATTTAACAACATACAAGACATGCTGATTGCAATGTGGATTACTAATTGTATTGTTTTGCATAATATGTTGGCAAATTTAAGAGATAAGTGGATTAAACTTCATACAGAGGCTTGAGATATTGAAGTACAAGCTTAAAAAGCCATGTTGGTTTAGAATAATATTTTTTTGCATGAACAATTCAAAGAAACAACTTCAATTGTGAATTATGCTAGTGGCCCCTTCCCAATAAGTAACAGCTTGTAGGCATATGTTACAACTTTTGTAAATATTGAGAATTTATTAAAATACACCTATTGTCATGGATATACTATACATGAGTCCAAACAAAAGTTGAACGAAAGAATTTCAAGAAGAAAGCTAACAAGAACTTAGTTAAACCAAATGAGTACAAGATCAATACCAAAAGAGATGAGCTAAAGCTTCAGCAGGTGTGTTGTCAAGAATGAAGATTTCCTTAGCCTTGAATCTAATATATATTAGATATTAGGAAGCTTTTCTAGAAGTTTTCATATTGCTTGAAGATAAAGCAATCCCATGAAGATTCTTAAATAACTTCTTTAATGCTTTTAGAACTTTTTAGAACCTATTAAAATATCCTAAGAACCTTTTAGAACCCTCTAAAAATCTTGTAGAATCTACTAGAACCTAATAGAATATACTAAAAATATTCTTAAAATCTTATTGTTAGATATCTATAACATCACTTTTCCTTCAAACTTCAAGTTCCACAAGGAGCATTTGTTTCTTATCTACTTTCTTTATTACATGTAATATCTCAATAGTAGCTTCATAGAAAAGTCATCTTAAAATAAGTTTAGGTTTTTTAAGATAATGTTGATGAAGCTCATATATCTTTTGTAACGTATTGACTAGATTTTTTTATTGATTTTCATGTATACTCATTAATATTATAGTTATGCAAATGAATAAAATACTCCAACTTGCTTCTTCTTGATTGAGAATCAAAGATCTTTTCCATCTCATATTCCACATGATTATCTATTTGAATGCAAGGCGGAGATGGTTGTATTCTTTTTAGAATAGTTGATTCTAAATAAGCTTGTAAGAAAGAAATATAAAAGTCTAAATATACCTTCATAGATGTGGGTAGTTCCAATCAATAAGCAACTATATAGATTTACTTTTGAATACAAAATGGACCTTATCTTTGATAGTCTAACTTATTGTAAAGTTGATTGGTCTTGATATTTCATCAAAGAAACCATATTTTATCACCAACTTAAAAACAAGGGATTCTTTTCTAAATTTGTTTGAAGATGCTTGTAAGAATCTATAGCTGCTTCTAAATGAAGATTCAAAGTTTTTTAGAATTGTGACAATTGTTTTGCAAGATCTTCAACTGTTGGATTTTCATCATTTAATGTACCTAATAAATCAAGCTTTGGATGGTAGCCATAATTAGATTTAATTTATATTTACTAAATGGAAGCATGAAGAGTATTATTATAAGCAAATTCTACTAAAAATAAATATAAGGTACAATGATCTTATTGATAGTTGATGGTATGTTGCAAATATTGCTTCAAAACTTGATTGACTTGTTTTGTTTGACTATCAGTTTGAAGGTGAAAGACAAACGAAATTTTGATATCTATCTTCAATATCTCAAAAAAAGATTTCTAATACTTTGATATAAATTGAGGTCCTTGATTAAAAATGATGTCATCAAGTAGGCCATGATGTCGATATATATTATTAAAAAAGAGTCTTATTATTTCTTCTTCAAAAATTACCTTTTTGCACAAGACAAAATGTGCCATTTTTTTAAGTTAATCAACAATAATATAGATAGCATCAAACGTGGCTGATGGAGGTAGATTAGTGATGAAATCCATTGATACTAAAGACCATGGTCATGTGAAATTGATAGTAGTAGAAGTCTACAGTGATAATGTTAAGAATTCTTGGATCTTGAACAAATGTCACATAAAAAAACAAAGTCCTTTATGAACTTCTATATTTGATGCCAAAAAAAAATCTTCAAAAATAATCTTTAATATTTTTTTAAATCTAAAATATTCTACAACTCAAAAATCATGACAAGATTGGAAAATACAAAGTTGCATATGTCTTTCTAGAATATATAAACAATCTTTAAAATACAAAAGAACTTCCACAATCTTGAACTTGTCATTGTTAGGACACTCCTTGATATTACAAACTAATCAATCTTTGGTTAATGCTGCACGAATTTTTTCATAAAAACTTGAATTAATAGGAATAATCATAAAAATAATACTTAGATGAAAATTTTCTTACTTCAAAAGAGTGGTATATTTTTAATCAAATGCTACTTCTTGAGCCTTTGGAAATAGATATGATTTTTTTGATAAAGTATCTGATAGTCCTCATTGCTTTCTTAATAGACATGTAATTACAAAATCAAAATGAGATAATGATATATTCTAATAAATTTGGTAGCAATTCAAAATCCAAGTTGACATAAATTACTCCAAATTTTTATGATCTATATATATAATCATTGGATATGTAGGACCTTCCAACAAATGATGCTATTCTTAGAAAGATTCTACAATCATAAGAAATTTTTTATCATGAATCTCATAATTAATCTCTGTAATTAAAAACTTTTTAGAATAAAACACAATTGGGTAGAGCTTTCCATCCATATTCTTTTTTATAATAGTACAACTTTTAATACAAAGTTGGAAGCATCAATTTTTAAATAGAAGGCCTTCATAAAATTAAGATGCATTAAGATTGGAGCTGTAGTAAAAGTTGCCTTCAAATCATAAAAAGCCCTTTGTACTTCATGTCTCTATTCCAATTTATCTTTAGATGATAATTGAGTGAAAGGAATAACATCTTAGCAGTAATTTTTAATAAATATTCAATAGAAATTAACAAATCCAAAAAAATATTGTACATCTTGTATTGTCTTTAAAGTTATCTACTTTGTTATAGCTTAAACTTTCTTTAAATCCATGAATAGGCCTTCATTGGATATAATATATCCAAAAAAAATTATTTTTGGTTGATGGAATATATATATTTTTCTAATTTAGTATATAATCTTACATCTTATAACTTTTACAAGACTAATCTCACATATTTTTTATGTTCTTTAGGAGTCTTGGAATAGATTAAGATATCATCAAGATAATAGACAATAAACTTATTTAAGAATTCTCAAAAAATATCATTCATCAAATATTTAAGTATAGCTAGAATATTTATCAATTTAAAAGATATAACATTATATTCAAAATTTTTGTATCTTGTCCAAAATGTTGTCTTCTATTCATCTCTTTTTTTAATCCACACCAGATTGTATGCTCCACAAAGATCTATTTTGGTGTAGATCTTCGCTTAATCGAGTTGTTTAAAAGCCTTAATATCAATAGTAATGAATAATAATTTTTTACCATTATTTTATTAAGGCCACAATAATCAATATATAATTGCAAAGATCCATCTTTTTTCTTTATAAAAAGTATTGGTCCTTTGTTGGAAGTTTGGAATACCAAATAAATTTCTTTGTAAGAATTTTATTGATATAATCTTTTGATGCCAAAAACTTGTTTTGTAATAGATTGGACC